AAAAGACTCCCTTTAAAAGATTCGTTCACTATTAATTTCCCCCGAATGCAATTAAAAAAAGGCTCCCAATGAAGACGTGTCTGTTTGCATTCCACGACGGTGACAGCATTCCTGAAACTGATGTCATCCGCACTTTTGTGCTCATCATCATCTTATTATTATAATTAGTGTGTTTTGGTAATTGTTTTATTCATTTATCTCTTCGGTATAGCTACTTTAAAAGACAAATTATATATATTTTTTTTAATTATAGGATTATTAGGCTATATATGAATATTTCATTGTAAAATTTTTGAATAGCCTTGAATTTGTACTGCCACTGCAATACCGATAACCGATAACTTCCTGCTGCTCCAAGCCGATACTTATAACGATAGTATTTATTTATACATGTATAGTTGGCGCATTGATCACATTATCGACATTGCTGTTGTATCCAGGCTTCCTGGCCAGTAAAGTTCCGGACAACTTGGATGCGGTCGTCATCGGCAGCGGGATCGGTGGGCTCGGCCTGGCTGTGCTGCTGGCAAAGGTGGGAAAGAAAGTCCTGGTTCTGGAACAGCATGACCGGGCCGGCGGATGCTGCCACACGTTCACCGAGAAGGGTTTTGAGTTTGACGTCGGTAAGGAGAACGTTTGCGATTGTTGAATTTTTGTAAAAATAGTGGAATGGATCCACGAAGCGTTTGTGTACCATAGGAATCCACTACATCGGGGACCTGCTGGACCACAAGCCATTCCGCTGCATGCTGGACCAGCTGACCAACGGGCAGCTACAGTGGGAGCCCCTGGAGAACCCGTTTGACCATGTCGTGATTGGGCCGCCAGAAAACCGCCGCCACTATCCCATCTACAGCGGGCGCACACGCTTTCCTGAGGAGCTGAAGAAGTGCTTCCCGGGCGAGGAGGCAGCCATCGACGAGTACATGCGACTGGTCAAGGTGAGAAGAGTCTGTCGGGTGGACATCACTGGACAATTTGAGGTCCATTTTTGTCATTGTACTTTGAGTATTTAGATGTCTGATGATATTTCATATTTTTTCTTTTTAGTCCCTGGTTTGAAAACCTTATCCACGATTTTTCTTCCTTACTTTGTCAAAATAGGCTAAAAAAGAAAAAAAAACCCCATAGAATTGTTTATGACTTGTAATGCAAAGTCCAAACCATAAAGCACCTCTAGAAACATGAATGGAGGTCCAACAGGCTCCAGGCGAGATAAAACGTGGACTGCAGCAATACGCAAGACGACAAGAATGCAATACTCCAGCACCTTCCTTCAACTGAGGCCACGCCTAAATATCAAATATCTAAGCAAACCTATCCGGTTGCTAAACTGCCGAACAGGTCATAACACGGTGCCTTTTCCTGACGGTTTAGATAGAAGTAGTTAAAGTACAAAGTTTGCTTATAATGATTATATGAGTTTGCTATATTTTATTTTAAGCGAGTATTTTTATCTTAATACTGAAATCAAAATACATATTTCGACCACTTTCATATCTCTCCCATTTGCTGTGCCCATCTGTTGTCATAGCATTCTGCCATTATGGCTCTGCGGTTGAAAATGGCCCGCTTACAAGCAGCCACGCGATGTGGCACGACATTTCGGCAGTGGCGCATACACAAGTGCAGTGTGAAAAAGCCTTAACTTTGCCCTTACTGAACGTTCAGACCTCAAGACTTACTTTCGGCTTACTCCCACAACGGGCCAGGCTTGTCCGCCATTGAATGAACACGTCACTTTGTTGTATCTGTAGAAAACGGGCCGAGGCATCTGGTTGATGGCCATGCTCAAGCACCTGCCAGCCTTCTTGGCTGAGTTGCTTGTCCGCAGCGGTGTGAGCAAATATCTGTCGGCCTTCTACAAAATGGTGCCCCGCAGCCTGACCGAAGTCGTCAACGAGCTGACAGAGAACAAGGACCTCAGGGCCGTCTTCTCTTACATCTTCGGCACCTACGGTAGGCCGCTTGTTTTGTTCACAGCCCTCCACTGCATTGGTTACCTTAATCGCACATCTCTGAACAAAAACGTTAGCGATGACATCGTGGTGACACAACCTAGAGGTGCCCTGGCTTGTCCGCCAGTATGGTAGTCCGCTGGTTACTTATGGACACTACTCTAAGGGGTAAAATTAGCATAAATGCTAGCGCTTACGGAAGGATGTCTGAGCTGGTCCATTATTCTGATAAACCATTAAAGTAACTTAGCCAGGGTTGTCGCGGAAACAACAGAGACACTGTTCTCTTTCATACAGTCGTCCCAACGCTAATGTTAGCCTTGATGCCTTCGCTAACACAACTCAAGAAGTCTCCTGCCCGCGTGCTTGACTTTCTCCATCCCCGTCCAGGTAATATGCCGAAAGATGCCAGCTTTGCCATGCACAGCCTGCTGGTCAATCACTACATAAACGGGGCCTGGTACCCGAAGGGCGGCTCCAGCGAGATCGCTTACCACATGATCCCCATCATCGAGAAAGCAGGAGGCGCCGTCCTGGTGCGAGCTCCGGTAAACCGCATTCTGTTCAACGATGCACGGGAAGCGTGTGGTGAGTCGACTCTCCGTGTCAAAATTGCAGCGCGGCCACTTTTGTTTGGTTTCAGTATTATCCGGTATGGCTCCACCAGGTGTGAGTGTTAAGAAGGGCGAGGAGGAGGTGCATATCCATGCTCCCATGGTCATCTCCAACGCGGGTATCTTCAACACCTACCAGAAGCTTCTGCCCAAAGAGCTCCAGACCACGCCGGGTAATTAAAAAAAAAAAAAAACAGCGATCAATCATGCTTGAGGATGTGGATACATTTTCCACTGAGTGCCACATCCAGAGAAAACTTTACGTTGTGTGTCTAAGCCGTTAAAAATATTGAAGGAAAATAAAACCTCTAAACCTCGGCACAGTGTTATTGATGACAAAGCAAAATTATCTAGATAGCTGCCTATCTATCTATCCAACTATCTATCTATTTATCTATCTGTCTATCATTGATGCTAGTGCTAACATGACTCGAGTCCTGGCAGGTCCACGTTTATGCTATCCACATATTTCTTAGGCTATTATTTATTGTCCGGTACAATTGTTACACATGATTCCTTTACATCACCACTTCAGATTTGGCCATTAAAAAGCATGTTTTGGCTTTGATTTTTTTTTTTTTTTTTTTGGTAGCAATCCAGAGGCAATTGAGCATGATGAAGCACGGGGCAGGTGGCCTCAGCATCTTTGTCGGACTCGACGGCACCAAGGAGGAACTGGGCCTCAAAGCTGACAACTACTGGATCTTTGCGGAGAACAATTTCGACGAACTGTAAGTTGAGTGTTGTGCCGTATCAATTACACTTGGGAATTGTTTTAAATAGGGAGGCACAGATCCGAGTCTGTCAGTGCATCCCCTACTTTTAAATTGCGAGGACACTGCACGAGAGGTCTCATTCTTGCTTGTTTGTCGTTTTGTCCCCGAGGGTAACAAAGTACAAGGACGGCGACAGAGAGGAGTCGTGTAAAAACATTCCCCTTCTGTTTGTCGCCTCCCCTTCTGCTAAGGATCCTACCTGGGAGGAGAGGTCACCAGGTACTAGACTTTAGACCTGGTGATGCAGCACGTGGCTCATTTGTGCACTCCGTACAACTTAGGACAGTGATTTACAATTTTCCGTTCTACGGTGTAGGCAAGTCCACATTGAGTTTGGTCAGCTTTGCCAATTACGACTGGTTCGAGGAGTGGAAGGATGACAAGGTGACCAACCGAGGATCTGACTACAAGGAGCTAAAGCAGGCGTTCACTGAGACAGCACTGCAGGTGGTGCTGGATACGTTCCCCCAAATCACCAGGGACAAGGTAATGTTAGCATTGGCGTTAGCTGCGCGTATGTTACACCACCCTGATGTTGGTTGGCGACAAATCCAGGGTGCACCCCGGTCATGTGGGATTGCCTCCAGCTTGTCCCCGATGAGGACAAGCACTATAGAAAATGGATGGATGAATTGCGTTTTCCCACTCGGGTGCAGGTGGAATACATTGACGCAGGCACGCCCATTACAAACGTGCACTACATCGGCGCCCCCAAAGGCGAGATCTACGGGGCAGACCACAGCACTGAGCGCTTCACCCCGGAGGTCAGCGCCAACATGAGGCCCCAGACGCCATTCAAGAACCTCTATTTGACAGGTAGCCACATCGTCCAATCCAGCGTTTCCCAACTTTTACTTAACCATAAAGCACATATTTTACACTGAGAAAAATGTCACGGCGCGCCACCAACAAAAAGCTTCAGCCATCACGTCGTGCAATCAGCATTCGATTTCTGCATTCGCACGTCAATTTATGTGTCGTAGGTCAGGATGTGTTCGTGTGCGGCTTTGCGGGCGCACTGGCCGGCGCGCTCACCTGCGGCTCGGCCATCCTCCATCGCAACCTGCACTTGGACACCATCATGCTGGCCAAGAAGACCAAGTTTGTCAACAGCAAAATGAAAGGGGTGTAACCTGGGAGAACAGCAGCTGGCTTGATGAACAGGGCTTGTTCAGCCCTTGTTCATCGGCTGATGAAACACACAAACAATTGATTCCATTCTTGTCTACAGTGCCTTTGAGTAATTAAATATATGAAAAATACATCATATTTGCCACAACATACACATTTACTGTGTAAAATATTATTTATATGGAATATATTTATTAAAATACAAAATTTAGAATGGCATAATTATATATTATGTTACATTATATTATACTCGAGTCTGATCGTCTTTGTGTACTCAACTCTACCCTATTTTAGTTTGTAATATGTTAAATAATGGAGTTCCTATTAAAACACCAACGTGTTAAAGGCGACCATTTTGTATTCTCTTTATTCTGTTTTTTTTCATTTGGTACACTGAGCGAAGCGCAATTTTTTTCTATTTTTATTTTTTTGTGACACGAATTGAAACACAGAATTAACTCTTACTATTATAGTATTTTCCATACATTTGGTGCACTGAGCGAAGCGCAATTTTTTCCATTTTTATTTTTTGTGACACGAATTGAAAAACAGAATTAACTCTTACTATTATAGTATTTTCCATAGATAACGTTTTTTAGACACTTTGACCCGTACTAAATACTTGTAATACGGATATTGAATGTACACGATACTCTGTAGTGCGCATGGACACAGCATTCGTGCTCACACGTGAACGGCTGATGTTCACCTTAAGCTGTTCTCATTTTGTTGAACGATTTACGTGTTGTCGGGTGTGTATTTTTTGCGGGAGGGCTGCCACATTGGTCTGGGCTCCCAGCGACACGGAAGCAAGATACTTTTAATCGTCCTTTTCAAAAGGTAAATAACGTTAACAGAAAAGTTATGTACTGTATTGTAGTTATTAAAATGGTAGGTCGTGTAGACTGCAAGGAAACCTGCTAATTGGTTAAGACTCAAGTTTGCTCGTCACTTGACAAGTTTAGTGCACGTTGTATTGTTAAAAATGTATTTTTCATTCAATAAGAATATTTTTTAATTGTATAATAATATGAATAATGAAGTTATTAGACGAATACACTCGGCCTTACAGTGCGTCAGTGCCCGAGCCTGATTGGACAGGCCTGATTGGATCTGCCCAAATGCACAAACGTGGTTTTTTTTCCCATACGTTGAGCTCACCGCCATGATGAATGTGGCAAATTCGAGAGAACGTCAAGTCAAAAATTATTGGGATTACCTTCGTTGGGTAAGACTGAGCAACGAGTTTTGGTTGTATTTGGCCATTATTGCATCATTTTTTGAAAACCATTTACAGGCGTCGTGTCGAATATGACGCCCATCATTTTATGTTCAGTAATTTATCAATTTCTAATAAATAATATATAAACTGTTAATGTCAATCACTCAATGTGGAGAGACTAGAAGTGGTGCTTTTCCTTTTAACTACTTTCTCAGCTGTTTATCTTAAGGAAATTTAGCAAACCACTGCCATCAGAACGTTCATGTCTATCTTCTCCAACTGCTCTACTTTTCCACATCCAAGGTGATGGAGGGTGGCGCAAATTTGCTTTTCTATGAGCTGCTGACTGAGATTGGCCAGGGCTCCTATGGCAAGGTGTACAAAGCCAGGGAAGTGGGAGAGGGAGGGCGCCTCCTTGCCGTGAAGAAGTTCCACTTCTGCAGCGAGGCATCGTTGTCGTCCAACGACAACGGCATCCCTCCCCACATAATCCGTGAGGTGGCGCTGCTCGAGAGGATGAAGTACTTTCAACACCCCAACGTCGTCAAGTAAAAGCACACAAGCCATTTTTATTTAATTGGGAAACGGTTTGGCGTTTGTTAACTATGTTGGAGTGAATTGGAAAAAAAAAACTAAATGGAAATTTAATAGATAAATAAATTAGGACCGTATTTCACAGCACTACCTAATTGTAGTTAATACACATGATTCTTCTTGTTGGACTGTGCAGGTTGTTGGACGCAACTGCCACGCTGGTGGGGAGGTCATTGGACCTCACTTTAGTGTTGGAGTACATTGACCAGGACCTGTCCACTTACCTGTCTGTAGCCCATCCATCTGGACTCAGCCGGGACAACATTAAGGTAAGAATAATAATTTGAATTGAATTGAATTCAACTTTATTGTCAAATGTGCTGTAGGTATGTGTAACATACAGCACAGATGAAATATCATAGTCGTAATATCAATATGCAATATTTTATTTCTATAAACCGCATGATGTAATGTTCATCACTATGCTACAATTGCAGCAGAGGGTGCTGCTCACAAACAAAACCCCCACACAAAAACCCCCTCTGTGACTTTTGTGTGACTCTTATGGCCATTTTTTTTCAATCAGTAAAATAGAATTAATTATAAATACAGTCATACAAAAAAAGTTTAATGTATATATTCAAATGTTTTGAGTATGACTGTAAATTGTTCAGCAAATCTCATAGTTGACCCATCTGATAAAAGAACTAAAAAGTGAAGATACTGTGTGTGCATCCAGGCCGTGATGCTGCAGGTGATGCGCGGCCTGGACTTCCTGCACGCCAATATTGTGCTGCACCGTGATCTCAAACCGGCCAACATCCTGGTCAGCAGCAGTGGCCTGGTTAAGATCACCGACTTTGGCATGTCTCGTTTGTACTCCTACAACGTGGCCCTCACACCAGGGGTATGTGCACTATTACATCATTGTGTTTATCACAGAAAGCGTGTTTGTAGGCAAAAAAACTGTATTTTTTGCCTCTGCAGGTTGTCACATTGTGGTATCGAGCTCCTGAAGTGCTGCTCAAATCTTCTTACATGTCATCTGTGGACATGTGGAGCGTGGGATGCGTCTTCGCTGAGCTCTTCCTGCTTAAGTAAGCACGTCACTCATTATTTTTGACACGAAGATGACACGTTGACGTGACGTTGATCCCGCAGGCCGCTCTTTAACGGAGTCAATGAGGCGCAGCAGCTTCAGATGATCTTTGAGTGAGTATTTGGTCGTGTGATGTTCCTAAAGCTTCTTTCTCGCAGAGATCATTCAACACGGGAACATGAGGGATTTTGGAGATGAGCCAAGTTGTATCTAACGTCGTCGTTTAAACAGAAAGGAGCAAAGTGTGATATTTCTGCAAGTGATATTTCCAGAGAGGTATGCTTGGATAAATTTGGATAAGATGAACCTTAACCCCATCAAGCACCACTGGGATCAAATAGACAGTGGCCCCTATCTCCCCCCCGCCAAAAAAAAGAAAAAAAAAACTCCCCAAAGAGTTCTCGCGGAACAATAAAATATATATATATTTTTAAATGTTTTGCTGTTTTTCAATGAACAGGATATCTACATGACATTTTTTCACAGCTCTGCACTTTTACACAAGTCCAATTTAAACATATGTAGCATTTTTCTTAGTTTTTTAAAATTTATTTATTTAAATTGGAGGCTCATTATTTTGGGGCTGTCAACCATTTTAGGTTCATCGGTTTGCCAAGTGAGGATGAGTGGCCCCAGGACAGCCCCATGACCTACTCACTCAACTTGGGCCCCAAGAATCCCCACCCCCAGCTGCTGCTTTCCCTGAAACCCTACGAGAGAGACCTCCTTCTGGTGAGTTGCTCAAAGTGTCATCCAGGAAAAAGAAAGAGCGGCTCGGCGGAATATTTATATTATAATTTCTTTTTTAAATGGATGTTGTACGTCAAATCCCAGCTGATAATGCAGCACTTACACTAACAACATGGCTGCAGAACAACTACTCCAGTCAGTTGTGCTAACTTAGCAACTTTCATACCCCTCTCGTAACTAAACTTGATTTCAGTGAAAAAAAAAAAATCTGAAATTCAGTTTTAAGGCCATTTTGCCCATCTTGAGCGTCAACTCTGCGTTTTGTTCACCTACAGCAATGTTTGACCTTCATGCCGAGCCGACGCATCTCGGCCGCCAGAGCTCTCGATCACCCATTCTTCAGCCAGCACTGAGGGAAAGTATTCGCTCCATTGCATGTTGTTGTTACATGTCTGCAAAAGTATTATGAGCACTTTAAAATGGACACTTTTTGTTATATCAAACTCATCTGTGACGAGGCTGCGCTTTATGTTTTGTGAAGAAAAAAAAAACTTACAGCTTTTGAGGCCTGATCAGCTAAATACGTCACAGAGCCATTTCAGATATATATTTTGTATTCATGTTTACAACCGTTTATAATGACTGTTGCTTTTAAGAGCGGTACAGCCTTCTTATGGCTGACTTGTAAACTCCAAGCAAAAAAAAATAAATAAATCATTAAAAGAGATCTTTTTCCCACAATTGTAGTACTGCCCGAATGTCTTAATAGCACAGCTTGGTCAAAATGGATCATAACATATTTTTGAAAGTGGCTCAGTGTCACCGTTTCCCTATCTACCCGAACACCTCACCTGAACATTATTATCAGTAGCTAGTGATGCTAACACTGCAAACACTGCAGCCCTGCTTGCATCTTAGCTTTGACATGATAGCATTTCCCTTCTTAAGTTAGCCCAGCGAAACGCTCAAGTCATCGGCTGAGAAAATATGGTGGCGATGGTGTTTATTTGCCCAACTGTGATGTAACAGTGAGGAAGAATTTTAATTGGATGTTTAATTTCACACTCAATGGGTAGGCAGGCGCTCCCAACACGCAACTGTTTGTACACAAACTCTTATTTGGCCCAATTGCCGAAAGCACTCTTTCACGTCACCACAGAAATGTTGATGTTACCTTGTACCTGTCAGTTGTCACCTTGTTTCCCCAACTGTCTTTAAACGCAACACCTGCTGCTCACCAGATCTCCTTCAACGACTATAATTGTTACTGTTTTAGCGGCTATTTGTTCCTCGCGTATTTCATTTAAATATGGATAGACACGCCACGGGTTGTCCGCCTATTTTTACTCTTCATCCATGTGTGCTGTAAACGCTCCACCCACCTCCCCTAGCGAGGGGCTCACTACTTTTGGAGCAAGCGGTCAACGTCAAGTGCTAGCTCGCCAAAGGGAGGGAGTTTGTGCCTGCTCTCACTGCGCGCATGTAAGTATCAGTGTTTGTACTTTCTTTAAAAAGTCACCAGTAGCAGGGTATCAGATTAAGTATTTGAATTAATCACCGTGGCTGTCAATGACTGTTAAGAAGTTACATTTGACGACTTAATTGGCGTTGCGTCGGTATAGTGAAGTTCTATTTTAACCGGCGCATGTCTGGTCCATGAAGTCGTCATGAGGTCATCTGTTTGTAAATACCGTTTTATGACTAAAGTACCTAAAACGTCATTATGGATGGAATATTCAGTTTTGTTCTTGTTGTTGTTGTTTTTTATGCTAACCACTGTCCCACTACAACTAAATACAGTAAAACTAAATAAAATTCTGTAAAATTAAACCACTCACTCTTTGAAAACACCTGTCGCAATCAGAAAAAACAACAACAACAACAAATAACTCCTTAATGAAGATTAACAACAAAAGTGTAATGGATTTTTTTAACATTGTCTCACCACCATATAAAGAAGCTATTGTGTATTGTAAAGGGTCCAAATACCAAGTCAGGTATAAATATGTTAAAAAAAAAAAGTGGGGGTTTTCCTGGTTCAAACTGATTGCTTGTGATTACTACATGAAAAATACATCTATCTATACATATAGATAGATAGATATGCAAATTTTTTGTTGGTGTTGAACCTGCCCTCTATTATTTGCTGACAATCATCATTCATAATTGTGTACATGCTACAAGCATGGTGTTGATGCTTTATGATCCACTCCATTTTAAGTGCTTTCGGAAATACCCTGAAATGGATGGTTGAACTGAAGTTTAGAGATGTTTTTTTTTTCCAATGAGGCTTTTTTTTTCTTAATTGACTGATGGTAAAACCATATTGATTAGAGCCTGTTTTCTGTGGAAATTAGCTAGAGTAGTGTGACTCCCATCACTAAGTCAGCCCTCCTGTTCTCCCTTTTGAACCTCTATGGCGACCCCCAACCCCTAGGTTGTCACATAACCTTTTGACCACTCTCGCCGATAGCTCAAAACACCACCGTGGAGTGCATCGGGACGAACTTGCATACTTGAGGTTTGTCTGAACTGCGTCCACGCAAGGAGGTGCGTTCACTGTGCTGTCTCCGTGACGACGAGTTAATATCCTCCTTTGCTGTCTCCAGCAAGGTTCACATTCTTTGCACTCTTGACTTGTATCTTTCACGTAGAATGATGAATTATTACTCTGTATTGACTGATGGGATTTTAGGAACTGTGCTGCAAACAGAAGCTTTAGCCGGTCATGGTTCTAAGTCCGCGGCTCATGCCTCTTTTGTTCCATTGTGCTTCCTGCATGGCGGCTAAAATATCAGGAATGCTGACTGCCACTGTTTGGGGAATCGCTCGAAACACTCTCACCAACATGCACATGTACACACAGACGCACACACACACACACACACACACACACACACACACACACACACACACACACACACACACACTCACACACACAAGTGTTGGATCGCCGTTATTTATAATGTGGATTAAAGTCTCAGCCTCTTGTGGTGTTGTGACCCCGTTGCTGCGAAACATGTTGCAAATCAAACACGTTTATTTGTATTTGTAAATAACAAAGAAATCTTAATTTATGACGAGGCACTTTCACACAAACTCTCTTTAATCTGGTTTTTAGAACAACTGTCATTCTTTGGGTATGTGTGAACAGTAACCACGGTTGTGGGAGTCATATACAGCCCAGACAAGTAACTTTGGGAGCACTCCAGGACCTTATGTTGAAATTTTTGGCAGTTTAACAGTGTTATCTACTTTTTAGAGGCACTGAAAATGTCAAATTGGCGCCTAATACTCCAGGAGTTAAAAGATTCAAGAAAAGAGTTTAGAGTTCCTGGAACTGGGGTTTCAAGTCCACACATTTTCATGATGTACAATTATAAACATCAGTCGATCAAAAGAAGTCATATCATATTGAGACGAACTTAACTTTCATCAACTATCACTACCAAGACCAAAAAGGAACTGTTGGGACTTTGTATCAGCCTCAGTCTCAGTAATGGGCTGGAGATGGTCACACAAGGGTCATTCGGCGAAGGGTGCTTTCGGAAATTGACACCTAACATGACTCAGAATGGTGGCGTGCTCGGAGCCTATTTCTGAACGCACCCGAGAGCATGCTCTATTATCATCTTCTGGTGAAAAATAAAGATCTATTTTCTACTGTGGTCAACAGTGCTGACGGCTCACACATTATTGGTGCAAATTTGAACAGGGATCTTAATTGGCCCCCGGACCAGACTTTGGGCATCCTTGTCATAAATCGTCATTCTATAGTCTATTAATCCATTTGGTGTGGCCCTCTGAGTACTTGCTTTTTAGGAGGCACTAGGTTAAGTTACTCAAGGCTTGTGGAAAAGACCTGCAGAGTCATGAGCCTAGAGAGGTGTTGGGTGTTGCTTTTCAGTGCAATGGGAGATTCCAGCTTGGCACTGAGAGAGAGAGAGAGAGAGAGAGAGAGAGAGAGAGAGAGAGAGAGAGAGAGAGAGACACGGGGAGGGGAATACATCTGGGATCTGGGATGCAATAACTTTCAGCTTTAGTCCTCCTGTAGGACCCCGAAACCTCTTCATGGACATGTTTTAGAGCTGAAGTGAATCATCCATGGAGGACCTGGTCCTGGAGCCCCGGTCAAAGCGCATCGCCCGCTACAAGGCGGAGAGGAGGCGGGAGCTGGCTGAGCGTTTCGGACACACGGAGGAGTTTTTGGACTCCGGACGGGCCAATGGCAGCGGGGAGGCGCAAGAACAAAATTCCCAAAATATCAACGGCAAGACGCACGGTGTTCTGAATGGATCAGACACTTCTGTGGGATCCACCAGCCTGACAGGGTGAATCGTTTGATATTCTTCACCGATAGTAACTTTCACCAATGTAGAACCACACAAGAGCCAGCTTCACTTGGTAACAGGAAATTTGCTATTGATCGGTCCATTCCATCCAAACACACACACACAAAAAAAAGTCTCAAGAAGTCATGCCTGAAAATACTTTTTTTTTTTTTTTTAATTTGCGCTCTCTACCTCCTTCTCCATGCTGCAGGCAGGATTCTCAGAAATCGGCCGGAGGGGAGGAGCACCTGGTGCAGCAGCAACTCCACACTCGGGTGTCAGTGGGCCAGCTGAGGAGTGCTCTCCTGCAGCAAGCGGGAAATGTAGCTCACCCGGGCAAAGTGTAAGCACCACAAGAGTCGATTTATTTTCTATAACCTTTATTAACGATAGCAAAACCATGTCGTACTTATGTACGGTGTTGTTTACATTGTCACATATTGTAATGAATTTGTGACTATAAGTGATACTGATAGTATTGCTTTTGGTGCTCACTTTTGGGCTGCTCAAGCAGGCCTAAATTGAATCCCAGTACCCCTAAAAGTTAGTCCTTTATTTTTTTAGTATGTACACTTTTAAAACACGCTCCAAAAGTTTATAATCCTGCAATAATTGACTGAAATGTAATGATTTAAAAATAAATATGCAGCACCCCCTTGCCTCAAGAATGGTTTGTTCCACCCTCTGTGGTTCTACCAACTCATTACCAACCCACGAGTATCATTCCCATTCCTCATCAATTTTGTGGTGCTGAAAACATTTCAGCAACTGATTTTAAACACAAACAGTGCAGCAACACATATTGACAAACAATATAACAATACAGTGATTTCTCGTCACTTCCCGCTTCAGGCTTTGCGGCTCCAGTGTTTCGCATTAAAAAAAAACAAAACATAAATAAAATTGTGTTTGCATGACTTTTATCCAGCCCCCCGGTGGTCATGTCATCCGTTTGTGTGTTAGGTGTGCAGAAGACGGGCCTCAAGCCGTGACCTCACTGGACCCGACAGTGAAAACGCCGTCAGATGGGGCTCGCCGCCGCACCCGGCGTTACTTCCCCGGCGGGCCAGGCGGCACGCGCAAAAACAGCGAGCGCTTCAGGACTCAGCCCATCACGGCCAATGAGATGGAAGAGAGTGGCGGGTAGGTCCAGCACAGGGAATGACCGTGAACTTATTCCCTCATCGTCATCTAGCCTGATATTGTGGTCTCGTCTAGGCTGGTGGAGGCTGAGGAAGAGGAGACACGTGAAGGTAAATGGCATCTGATGTGCACCTTTGACACCCGAGGAGCCAAAAAGATTAAATTAATATCACTCTCATTGAGGAGTGGCCAAAGTTTTGTCCTCAAGGGCCTCATTTAATTTTTAAAAACTGCTGGTCAGATCATTTGAATTTGTGTTTAAAAAAA